TAACAGCTGGGCCTGGAGCACAGGAACTGTCTGAAAGGCACAGTTCCACACATCCAGAGGTAACTGCCCTACACCTTCCATCAGCARGTGAGAGCTGAGGGGCTCCTGCATCTTTAAATCAACACCCAAAGACAGTCCATTCCCCCCACCATGAGGAAACAGGAGCAAAGCACTCACATGTGGTTGAGGAGACTCAAGGCGACACCAAAGAGCATCTGGAAAATGCCAAGGATCACAGACATCTTCATCTTAAAGGAATTGAGGAAGGCCAGCTTATTGCTGGCAATATTCCAGATCTGTGAAAAACAACACCCAGTCAGGCAAACAGCGGGGAAAGGAAAACAGGAGAAGGAAAACACTCCCTTTAAGCTAAACAGTATGAACCAGTCAGGAAGTGTCAGGCTGAAAAAGCAGGTTTTTAAAAATGCATTTGTCCCATGGATATCGTTTGGGGAAATGAGCAGACAAGCTCACAGAAAGAATATGATTATCCATTTAAAGGAACAGTTATGTTCATACATTACATTACAGCTCTGATTTCCTGCACTTCCACTTTATATGGAACCCACACAAAGTTTGTGTTGTATATTACAACAGAGTTAAGAGCAGAGGTGTTGATGGGCTGGTACAAAGTGACAGGATTACTGGGATATGCATATTTCCAAGGATGACTGAAAAAAGAGATTAACACTTTCCCCAAGATAAACAATTAACTTCAGAAAGCGATTTTCAAGTCTAATCAGATTTKATTAAAGCACTGCAGGTCAGAAAGAGTGAGAAAGTAACCTTTAACAGACCTCAGAACAAGGGACTACCCCAAATCAGGCATCTCAGTAGGAACTGAATTCATTGTATCATTCAGGAGTATTCCCACCACTGATAGACTTGCTAAGGGAATGGCTGGGCTGGGGAAATCTTTCACAGAGCAGTGAACAGACACTGAGGATGTTCCCAAAAGWCTGCAGAGGAAGGATGAGCTCTTACCGGGTCAATGCCAAACGGGTAGGGCCCACCAAAAACCCCGGGGATAGCAGGATCCAGCTGCAGCAGGGGAGTGGTCTCCAGCAAAGCATCTCTGTTTGGGAATAAGATCATACAAACATTAATAAGAGCAATGCCACCCTCCTTCTGTAAAAACTAACAACACTCTCCCCTTGTGAGAGAAAGGAATAGCTCAAACTGAGAGAACCTTAAGGCTCCTGGATGGTTCTAGAGATTTTCCCAAATGAATAAAACCCTGTTTCTCAACTTTTTACTCAGCGTCACAAGGAAGACATGAAAGGGACGAAATCTGGAAATGTCTTTGGGGAAAAATGTGAGAAACTGCATCTTTGTAAGTTTTCTGGGGGAGAAAAAAAAAAGCTGTTTTGAATCTTGGCAGATATCATTCAATTTACACCTCTCTTCCAAATCTACTTGAGACAGAGTTSAGAAGTTTTTGTTTTCCTGAGATGGGAGGACAGTGGGGAAGAACAAGCCAACTGCTTTTCACTGTCTGTTTTTATGAAGTGACCAAGGTTTACTCACGACCAGTTGCCTTTAGTGAACATGGGCCGGACRCTCCAYGAGGAACCGAACATGTTGAGGGAYTTGGAGAAGCAGTCGTTGTAAATGAGACCAGTGTATGTGGAGAACAGCCCCATCAGCAGGATGATGTATCGACCACTGAACACCATGTTGAACATCTGGTGGAAAACCCAAAAGGAACAGAGGAAATTTGTGAGAACAGGGAAATTTGTGAGAACAGTCCCCACTAAAGCAAAATCAGGGAAATCAGACCTGCTGTAGGACAAACATTGGCCATATGAACTGAGAGCCCAAAGTCTCTATTTCCCCTAGGCAGGGATTAAAGGTGGGAGAGGGAGCAGGGCAGCACAGAATCTGATAATGAGGATAAAGGGACAGKGTGGCTCTCCACAGGGAACCCAGGATTAGCTGCAGAGGACAAACTGCACTGCACAGCCTGATGCAACCCCCAGCTGRCAGCATGAGTTTGGAATGAGGAGAACAGAGCCTATCAGCCTCCTCCATGCTCTGCCAGTGTATCTTAATGCTGGTTCAGCTCCGGTGAGCCCTGAGCCAGCTAAACCCACCAGCAGACAGGAAAAATGCTGGGGATAGGATATTGTACACAAACTGGGAGTTTTGCAGTGGCTGAACCCCACTATGATCCAGCTAAATTTGGGGTGATTTGTTTACACCAGCTGACCTACTACACTTGATAATTTCCTTCAGACAATCAAAATTAATAATTTCCTACAAATATCCAAAAGGGAAATGAAAGGGAACTCAATGCTATTATGAATTACACTATTCAGTGTGTGTGTGCTCTTCAGGCTTCCCAGCCTGTCCGTGCACTTCAAAAATTCCAAAGGAGAATACTGTCAACTCAAGGGGAAAAGGATGGGAGTAAACCAAGCTGCAACAGTTTTTCTGAAAAGCAAAGCTCAGCATGATCTGCCACTTCACCTCATTGTCACTCTTCTGGGACAGAATCCGGCTTTCCCTCACCACCATCCAGACAGCAATCAGAGTCATCAGGATTCCATGGCCAAAATCCCCAAACATCACAGCAAACAGGAATGGGAAGGTGATGATGGTATAGGGTGCTGTAAGGGAAGAGACAACATTCTCAGGGCACTGCGTGTGAGCCAGCCCAGATTCACCACAGTACAGTTCAGGCAATTTAGCAATATAATTCCACAGCTTCCACTATGCTGAGTCTCTACTAAAATTCTCTACTAGAAATTTCCACACAGGGCAGGCAATACATGACTAAAAAATYTGAGAATCTGACACAGAAGTCTTGGACTTCTGCAAGTCTGAATTTACCTGGATTTATTTCCCGATATGTCCCAATGCCGTAAGCATCAACAATGTTTTGGAAGCCAGAAGTAAACTTGTTAGTTTTGTTGTAYGTGGGTGGGGTCTGGTTGGTTTGCATCCTGTTTAAAATAGATGGGACAGTGGATCCGCTGTGCTCCTGTTGGARAAAAACAAAGGGAAGATCAGCAAACCCACCCTCAGAGCACTGGAGGAAAAAGTCCAACACAGCTGTCCCAYTGGCATTTGGAAAACTGCAAGCTTGAGTGTTTGCAGGGTGCTTGCACAATGAGACACTGGAGCAGCTGAGGAAAGCTGCCAGATTCCATTGCTCTCTGTGCAGCAGGAGTAAAGGTGAACCTTGTCTGTGTAGGACAGATGAGAAAACAACAGCAAGTGGAAGGACAGCAAGAAACCCAACTCTTTTGTATCTGAGCAGAGGGTGCCAGCATCCTGGAGAGCTCCAGACACATTACAGGGTAACTAAATGTACCAAAGGACTCACATATGGCAAAATCCTCACCTGTCCTAAACTTCAAGCTTTACAAAATGTATTTTTCACTACTTTTATCTCTAAGTCATCATTTTGCATGCTAAATAAACTGTCCTCTGTGAGGGCTGACYCCAACAGCCCAACAGGACGGTGCTCAGAGGCTCAGAACACAGACAAGGCAATGACTCCATGCAGTGACTGGCACAGCAGCTACTCACAGTGCCTCTCCTGAGWGCAAACTGGATGGAATCGAGGTCAGCAACAGGACACCACACTTCAGCAATCAAGCATTTCTGTGTCACGTCGATGTTGCACAGGTTGAGGGTGTGGTAAATGGCCTTCATCTTCCGCACTTTGATGAACCAGACGCGGATGTTTTTAGCGGCCGCCTGCAAAACCCTCTGGCGATGATCCTCTGTTTGGTTCAGCACCTTTTGGAGAAGCAGGAGAAAGATGAGGCCAAATCATTGACCAAAGCTCAACAAGACAAGCCTCACCCACAGATAATGAATGAGGAGCTCCCCTACACCAGGCATAGGCTGCCCCATGCCTGCAGTCTATGCTGTAGCCCCCATATTAATTAGTTCTGCTGAAAGCCTTAAGGGCTTTTTCCAGGGATGATTTTTGATTASTTTCCTCCTCCAGCTCCAAGGTCAGTGGTTGTTTCAAACAAAGAACCGTGCCAAGATCCCAGGGAACAGTTTTACCTCCACCCAGGTTAAAAGAGCGGAGAAGAGTTCTGTATGTAAAGGGTTTTCTGCATTGAGAAAACACACCAATTATCCTGAAAGGTTTGTTTACTGAAGGGAAAAGRAGAAAGTGTTTCCTACTGGGGGTGTTTTCCAACTGGAACATATCAAACTCAGGCCAAGTCAGATTTCCAGAGTGGAAAGTCTTAGATTGAAGGGAAAGTGAGGACACAAGGCACATGCTTACAGCAGTTACACTGCTTCTTTTAAAATATCTTTTGAGCTACACTGCACAACTCCCAGCTTGAGACAGTTTCTGTATCAAAGAAGCAGGGCAAATTCAACCTTTTGTCCTTTTAGTTTGTGAACATTTTCTTAATTTTTGTCTCAAATCCCTTAAATCTTTCTGCATTATCACATACTGCCTTTCTTCCTTGGAGCAAGCACCAGGTTATTTCAGAGAGGGCACCCAGGAGATCTGGGTACTGATTACTTTTTACCAATACTCAGGCTGCTGCACAAGAGATTAGTTGTAAAGCAGAAGCTCTTCAGGACAGCACAACATGAAAATATAAAAGACAGGCAGAAAAAAGAAGAGCTAAGTTAATGTCAGCATTGTTATCTCAGCTTGGAAAAAAGTTTAAATGTTTTCAAAGTACTCTTAGATGAAACAGGCAATTACACAACACGCTCTCAGAGGTGGGACACGTGGGATCTCCGTACACACAAGTTCCTCTTTGCTCCCTGGTGTGGAGTTCTCTGTACTTACTTGTATGTTTTTTTTTCTCAGCCCTGCAGGAAGATCAAACCACCCYATCCCAAACCCTGTCACAGAAACAACTGAGCAGTCTCCAAACAACTCTCCTGCACTGCTGGTCTCAAGCTACCTGAAACTGAAAACATGGTCAACCAACAGGGCCAAAAATCCTCCTGTTTTAACAGGATCCAAAGTTTCCAAATATAGTTTTAAGCCATATTATTAAAGAAAAAAAAAACAAAGAAAGGTCATTGACCCCAGTTATTTTACCATCTGAAGATCATCAATTCTGGTATTGACACCAGAAGCCATTTCCTTCCTCTCCTGGGGTGTTTCTGGGCATGGGTAGAGGGAGGCCCGGAACCTGGAAGACAGGGAAGCACCTCAGTGACAGAGATGGAAAGAAGATCAATTGGTCAGGGGTGAGCCTGAGTGCAGAAATAAAGCCAGAGGCACCCTAAGAGAAGTTTCTATCAGCAGAGACTGCCAAGCAGAACCCCASTCCCTACATCAATGGGATGCAGAAGTTTGCTTTAGGCCAAAGCAGAAGCTGAGTGCTAAAGAAAAGGGAAATGGGAGAGAATCCTCTGCTCCCTGTGCTGCCAGTGTCTCAAGGCACTGTCACGAGGCTGGTCAGCCATCAGCTGAAGGGGGATGCTCTCATAACAGTGCAGCTGCTGACAGAAGCAGTCACTGTTGTCTCCCCTGTGAGAATATCCCAYTGATGTTCCATCAGGTGTGCCCCAGAAATCAACACTCCCTTGGATTTTTGCATTCCCTAGCACAGCAGTTGTGTACTTCGAGCATTACAGGCTGGGGAGTGGTGAGTTTGACTGTAAAATGTGTTTCAGTTACTTATGGCACATTTTGTTTGCTGTCAAAAAACGTGCTCCTGCAGGCACTGCAAAACAGGGAGTTGAGAAATATCGATATTAAGTCATGCCAGTGTGTTTSAAATAATTGAGAGCTGCCCAGCCATCAGACTTTCATACCCTTCACAGATCTTCTTGACTCTGTTCTTCAGCTGGTCACCTTGGAAGAAGATGATAAATACAGACTTGTGCACGTAATCCCCCTAGAACAAAGGAAAGAATTGTAGAAATTAGCATTAGCTAATTACCASAGTTCTACTTTTCCTTTTGCTGAGTCTGTGCATCGGAGCTCAGATCTGCACAGTGGGTCAAAAATATCAAGTAGCACTGAAACAGTCACAAGGAGAGYAATTTTCTCAGCCTCAGTACAGAATACCTGCACTGTATTTGTGTTGACTGAAGCAAAATTCCCCAGATTATCCATTATTGATTCTATGCAATGCAGTAAATGGRAAAATCTGCTAAGGTCTCAAAAACCTACAGAATCAAGCTGAAAAAAAGAATAAAGATAAAACAAAGTTTAACCACTGTGGTTCCCAGGGAGGTCAGAGGCACATTCCTTGCACAGCTGTGTCCGTGGGGGCAGCCAGGGCCCCTTTCCTGCATTTGTTGACRAGTTATTGTTCTACCTTACTTAGGAAATTTTAACATCATGTTTCACGAATAATTACATTAGGTGTAACCTCGATCTAAGGAAGTTCTGCACAATAAGAACAAAGTCTCTCCTAGCAGACAGATGATTCCACAGGTCAGCTACCAGCGGTCGGTGGGACAAGGGAATGCATCAGCCTTACATGAGAAAGAGAGGCTGAAACTGAACTTCACCTCCTGGGTCTGTGTTCCAGGGCAGCCCACACGCAGCCTTTACTAGGAAAGAGCAAGGCTGCCCCAAGTTTGGGCAGTGCCCACTGGTTTTACACGGGATGTAAAACCAGGCACAATCACATTTACTGTTTGTATCTGTATTAATGCAAAAGTTCTAAGGTGGATGGTTAAACTATTGATTGGTGAATTAAGAAAAAAATGTAAGGTTCAAGTTCAGAGTAAATGAGCTTCAGATGTTCCATGCTGCCCATGTCCCAAAGAGGATCACTACTGATTCAGAGCTGCACTAGGGAAACCCCTAGGCCCTGCCACAGTCCACATTTAAAGTTGTTTCCCCCTTCCAACAGCATTCCCCATGCAGCTTTATTTTAGCTTTAATTAAACACAAAAATGTCTGCTGATGAAGCTCAGAGGTTGCAGCAGGTGCTGGGATGCACCTCACTGAGGGACAGAAGCTTTGATCTGCAGATCCACAGCTCTTAGATCCTGCACCTCATTGAGGGACAGAGCCTTGATCTGCAGATCCACAGCTCTTAGATCCTGCCACACCCTGGAAGCTCCAGCTGCCATACCAAACATCCCCTTTACCGTGGCAGGGTCCTCCAGCGGGTTCTCGATCTCTGCCTGGCGCAGGAAGACGTTCCCGCGGCACACGCGCCACAGCATCCGCTCGAAGGTGGGGATGCGCTCACGGTTGATCACACCAGCCACGAACCTGCAAGGGGACAGAACGGCCTGAAGGACAGCATCTGAACTGCCCCAGAGACTGCTCCTGAACTGCCCCAGAACCTGCACCTGAACTGCCCCAGAATCTGCACCTGAACTGCCCCAGAGCCTGCACCTGAACTGCCCCAGAGCCTGCACCTGAACTGCCCCAGAGCCTGCAAGGGGACAGCACAGCCTGAAGGGCAGCACCTGAACCACCCCAGAGCCTGCACCTGAACCACCCCGGAGCCTGCACCCAGCACACCATGGTAGCTGGGGCTCAGCACCACACTGAAAGCTACAAAACTTGTTTTAGCAAGCAAAATGGAACACTAATTAATGGAAATAACACAACAGAATGACTGCACTACAGCACAGGCTCGGTTTTCCAATAGAACAAAATAATCCTAAAAAAAAAACGGAAACAAATGCATTTAGATACACAGTTTCTAGCCTTCATTTCCCTGCAGTCCATTGGCTGGGACAGCATGGCCTGAAGGGCTGCACCTGAACCACCCCAGAGCCTGCACCCAGCACACCATGGCAACTGGGGCTCAGCACCACACTGAAAGCTACAAAAATCTTGTTTTAACAAGGAAAATGGAACTCTAATTCATGGAGATAACACAACAAAATGACTGCACTACAGCACAGGCTCTGTTTTTCAACAGAACAAAATAATCTTAAAAAACCCCCCAACACTGCTTATAGAAGAAAAAAATGCATTTAGATACACAGTTTCTAGCCTTCATTTCCCTGCAGTCCATTGGCTGGGACAGCAGTCCATTGCTGGGACAGCACAGCCTGAAGGGCTGCACCTGAACCACCCCAGAGCCTGCACCCAGCACAGCATGGTAACTGGGAGTCAGCACCACACTGAAAGCTACAAAAATCTTGTTTTAACAAGCAAAATGGAACTCTAATTCAGGGAGATAGCACAATAAAATGACTGCACTACAGCACAGGCTCTGATTTTCAACAGAACAAAATAATCCTCAAAAAAAACGAACATTGCTTATAGAAGAAATAAATGCATTTAGATACACAGTTTCTAGCCTTCATTTCCCTGCAGTCCATTGGCTGGGACAGTTGTCCGTTGTGACAACAGTCCGTTGTGACAGCAGTCCATTGCTGGGACAGCACAGCCTGAAGGGCTGCACCTGAACCACCCCAGAGCCTGCACCCAGCACACCATGGTAACTGGGGGTCAGCACCACACTGAAAGCTACAAAAATCTTGTTTTAGCAAGGAAAATGGAACTCTAATTCATGGAGATAGCACAACAGAATGACTGCACTACAGCACAGGCTCTGTTTTTCAACAGAACAAAATAATCCTAAAAAAAAACCCCAACACTGCTTATAGAAGAAACAAATGCATTTAGATACACAGTTTCTAGCCTTCATTTCCCATTGGCTTCAAGGGACTTGGCTGCTAGTGACTGTGTCCTGGGCTCCCTGGACCAAACCCCCACATCCAGATAAAGAATTATACACGCACAAGGAAGCCTGGAAGCAGCTGATAAAGAGGATGTAGAACTATACAGTTATTTCAGACCATTTTGTGCCCACGGTAGTTACAAAGCTGTGATATCTCAGAATGTCTGAGACTTTCAYGGAACAAACTGGGTTAATTCTTTGGTGCAGAGAGAAACGTGCGAAGCACGAACATGAACTGGGAAGTTAATATGCACAGGAAAGGAGCAGAGAGCAACAGCTGGTTTTACATCAGCTTTCACTTGCTTGGTGTGGAAAGTTCCACAACTGTGCTCAAATCATTGCTGCTTCCCCAGGCTTGAAATCTCTAATCCAGCAACCCTGAAGTGCAATTACCCGAGTCGGAGYGGGGCACCTCTTCCCATCTCACTCGGCTCCAGCAGTGAAGAGGATTCCTCCAACAGGTCTGGATCCGCCATCTGCTGATGATGCAATTCAGCCTGAATTCACAAATCAATTAATATCTAATGAAACCAGTTAGTGGCATGCAGGGAATGAGGAGCCAGGAGATAGCTGGGGGAGACAAAGAAAGAAAAGAAGAAAGGAAAGGAAAGAAAGAAAAGAAAAKAAAATAAGGAAGAGCAAACATAAGACAGCAAAAAGAGGAACGAGATGACAGAAAAGACAGCAAGAATCACACATGGAAGGAGGAAAACAAGAGGAGAAATGGAATGGCTCAGCAGGGCTTCCATACAAGAAAGGTTTAAGGATTGTTGCAACAAATGGGCTGGGGGATATATAAGTCTGAAGAAAGGCAGAGTTAAAAAAAAATTCATGTTTTAAATCCAAGTGATGTTTCCAAAAAMCATTTTTAATGGCACAAGCCAGAGAAACACACTTGACTCACAGATCTTCCCAGATACTAATTTATCCTTATTCACCATATGGTTCACCATCAGACACACACATTGCTTAGGGGAAGCTGGCAACATGGCTCATCTCTTGGCCAGCCAGGCACTAAAACAGGACAGTTTTACACTGTCCTTCTTTGCAACTCATTTGCAGGCTAAAATTCTTAAGAWTATGGCTTATGAGTGTCAGAAATTCAGGYCAAGGATGTTCAAATCACATCCTCYTGTGCACCATCTTCACACTTGTTCAACCCCGCCTCAAACTTAGTTCTACCTCTGCAACTTATATATTGAAATGCCAAAAATTACAGTTCYTGAGCACAACCAGAGGGCCAAAGTCTACCCCCTGTGGTATGCAGGTYTTTCCTGCAGAGCCATCAAGGGAACTTGTTAAATCACACCAAAAGGCAGAGTTTGACCCAAGGATACATCATATCCACACACACACACAGAGCACAGCCTTGCAAAATCTGTGGCAAGTGCAGTAACTTAGCCCCAGTCTCTGTATTTGGGAAACAGTTGCATCACAGTGAAAATCTCTCTGACACTTTACTCGCTTGACAAATAAAAWGTGTTTGCCATTTACAAGAGTTTTTGCAAGGCTGACACCAAATGCAGCTCCACTGCTTGTAAACACACTTGCTGCATCTTAGGATGTTACACAAGGGAAGGGGAGAGCCCTTAATTWGGCTTGGAAAGGCAACACAGAATAATTCCTGATCCTTTTAACTTCGAGGCAACTTGTTGCAACAWCAAAAACTGAATGAAAATTCTGCTTCATAGAGAACACAACTAAAATAACAAAGTTTGGTACCCAAAAACGAAACACACAGACCAAACATCCCAGCAACTGYTTGACATCTYGATTTCAGGATGTTGAAGAACAGTAAGTTACAATTTTAAGAGGCTTGTATTGTATTTCCAGTAATCAAGAYAGTGTCTGCGCTAWTTTTTTGTGATGTGCTGCACATTTYAGCAGATGACTCAYAAAAAAGGAAGGACAGCATATGTGACACCCTTGGATTCACCCCACCTGGGAGAAAATTTGTTAAATACGTATAATATTACCTTGGTCCATTTGGGCTATGTGTCCTTTATTCAGGACAAGTCCTGCTTGAGGGGAGTGGACTTACAAAACAAAACAGTTTAGAATAAATGTGGATTAGACTAGTTTTACTAATAGAGAACTTATTTTTGCAAGGATTATTGCATTATAAACCCCATGGTTTTTGAATTAACTTCTCAACCACTCTGATTTGATGATTACACACTTTCTAGAAAGGAAGTGGCACAGCAGCAGCAGCTCTGCAGCTGGAAGGATAACTGAAGCACTGCTGTGGGATTTTACAGAAATATAAAATTAAGACTATGTGGAAATGGAAGAGCTATCCAGTTCCAGTGCAGGAAAACAGGGTTCTGGGAAATTTATTTTGAATACGAGTTTTTGCCAGCAGGGAGTGAAATGTCAGAGTTATTGCAGAGCATTTTTTACTGGATAAGGTCGTTCAGGATTGGAAGACCCCAAGCATTTCCATGCCAGTAATCAAGAAGCAGAGCTTTCATGATTAAACATTTTAAAACTGGTTATTGATCCTTAAATCAGCACCCAGATCAGCACCTTTAATCTCAAAAAAGGTTCATTTTCTCCACTCATGATTCCAGTCCTKCCCYGTGACAATTCTGGATGCCCAGTGCAAGCCCATACAATTCAAGCCCCTTCCAGGTCACAAACAGGACAAAAATCAATGTTCACAAGAACTAAAAACGATTCATGTCACCATCTAACTATTAACCCAGAGCCAGACAGAAGTGACAGATGCAAAGCAAACAGAGAAAAGCAGATGGCAGAAGAGTCAGAGGGAGGAAGAAGGGACTGCATGCCATTAACCGTTACTTTTCCAGTCTTCTTTTACGCTCACACTCTAGGCAAAGCTCTCAGAGAAATCTCTCCAGCTCAAACTGCTCTTCATAAACAAGGACAAGAAGACTGAGAAAAGGAGCATAATCATCAACATGGTGTGTTGGAACAAGAAATGGCTGCTTGRGCTGGAATGGTCACAGGAAGAACAAGGGGATATTTTGCCACCCTCCCTCCCCCCATGTTCAAACTTCAGAGAGCAAACGCCAAGCATGAAGGAATTGGACAGTCAGCCATTTCTTGTGCAACTCATTACTATGAATAATACAATCTTAATTACAAGTTACTGTAGTCTTCAAGTGTTGAAAGGGCTGTGCAATGACAGGAAGGAAGCATTGGCTACTCCAGGCTGGTGAGCAGAGGGGCTCTGGGCTGCTCGGGGCTCTCCCTGGCTGTTTGCTGAGCACAGCATGAACTGAGACAGCTTTAAATTGTCCACACTTACATTTTACTGAACACCACCTGTAAGCTGTTCTGTTTGCTTTTACATAGAGCAGCACATGTTATTTGGTGTATTTTGTTTTGTTATTACAGGAAACAGTTACCAAAGAGAAGCAGAACTTAAATCTTTCTGTGGCTGTTTCRTGTAATGCTGCTGTGAGCTCCCTTCTGTGGGTGACCTGACGTGGACTGTTCAGAAAATTGATTTTGATCTTTAAATTTAGTTTGATCAAACTGCAGTTGAAGAGGAGCAGTGGGCAGCTTTCATTGGAGAGGACAGTAATAAACCAGGCCATGTTGGACAGGGTTTGGAGCAACCTGATCAAGTAGAAGGTGCCCCCTGCCCATGGCAGGGGGTGGATGGGGATGAGCTTTAAGGTCCTTCCTAACCCAAATCAGTCTGGGATTCGTTCTCTATATAGAAATGTTCAGCACTTGGTTTTACATGACACCCAGAACAGGCAGTGCTACTTTAATGCAGCAAAGTAACACATTATCAGATTAATCCTGTTTGCCCAAGTGACACTTGTAAGTGAACATTCAACACTCGAAGACAAGGGTTTTTTTTGTACTGAAACCAACCCCACAACCCATCAGCCCTCACACCAGCAGCAGTATCTGTGTCAGCACAGACTATGACTGGCACAGGACCAACCTTGGTGCCTTAACAGGCAACACCTTGTGCCAAAACAACAAAAAACAAACGGTTAGATAAACGGCCAGAAGTGTGCAGCAGTCCAGCTCCACTTGACAATAGCCCTTGTAAATACCAGGAGCTGCTTCCGTTAAAAATCCTTTGATCAAATCCTGAGATTAGAGGAAACAGGACATCTACTCAGCAAAAACATGTCCTGAAAAACATACAGGAGCTCTTTGAGAGAACTGCCAAGACTCTTGAGACACTTCAGCTTTACAAGGAAGGGTTATGTCTTCTCYCCAGCAGGATTTATGTCAGTGCCATGAATGACACCGGAGAAGCTCCTCTCAGGTCCAGTGAAAGTTGCCAGTTCCTGGCCCAGCTGGTATTTGACAAACTGTAGAAGACTTTAAATGTCAGCTTTGCTCCACAACTGACCTCTGAAAGCTTCGGGTTTGATCAAAGGCTCAATAAATTAATTAATAAATCTAGTAGTTCAGTGGACTTTGTATTATGACCCTTGTGAGTTTCCACAAAACATTTTGAAGGGTGAAGAGAAATTCAGCTCAATCATAACTTCTCTGCACGTGCACCAAACAGACTCTTACCCACTGCTGTAGCACCAAATTATGGGGTCATTGATGTGTTTCAAAACTACTCTAATAATCTTAATTATTTTACACATTTTTTAAACAAACCATTGCTTAACTACAACAAGCCCCAATCAGCATCGTAGCAGGTAAATCATGGGTAGCTGTGTGTACTGCATGAAAAATGGAAAGCAATTTGTGAAGCTTTCTTAAACAAAGCATAAAATGACCCTGCTGTCCAAAACAGCAACTAAAATATATTTGAGAATAAAAAGGATAATTTCTATGAGAAGAACAAGCTCCCCACGTGTTATGCCCCACCGATATTCTGACCTCATCAAAAAACTGCTGAGTTTTACGCAGTATAAATTTTAATTCTGTCAGCTCCAAGAAGTTTTTCTTCAGAGCCTCCTGGTTGGTGTTGATTTCTTTGAGCTCGTTTTCAATTTTCTCAAAGTTTGCCTGGAAGAGGCGACAAGAAGAAAAAAGGACTTAAAACAATTCCACAAGTAAGTGCTGTTCAGTCAATCAACACACAGAAGCAGGTGAGATACTTCACATTTCCAAGACTAATTTGCATGGCTTTACAGGTTCATCTCCAGCCAGCTACAGCACAGATCCACATCTGCCACATCTGCAGGCAGCTGCAGACTTCTCACACTCAGCCAGGTTTTCATGGATTGGATTGACAGTTTCCTAAAATCACTAAAATCATGATAAATCTTATGACCCTCCACCATAAATCATGGGTTTCCAGCAGCTCTGGCTCATGCCAGTGGTGAAATTTCTATCAAGTACTTTCACTTCTCTATTTGGACAAACACAGCCAGCACAATGTGAGGCAGCAGAGCTGCTTCCAGGGACAGCTGGAGACTGAGCTAATGCCCCCCTGCCACTAAATTCTGCAGGCATCAACCAACAGATACAATTTTCTCTGTTTCCATCCAGAGTTAAATACTAGTTGAGTCTTAACACATCATTACCTCCAGGTCAATCATGTCACGTGGAAAAGGCACCTCCGGGTTTTCTCCAGTGTCCATGATAGGAATGTTTGCCTTTTTAATCTCCTTCTCCACAAACCCTGTAGAGACAGCATTAAAAGTGTTAACTACAGACACTTCAAACAGTCACCCCAACAAGCACCTGGCCCCAGCAGCAGCTGATTTCTTCACCTCCCATTCCAAGATTGTCTGACTTGGCCAGAGTTATCTTTCCAGGGGGAGGTGAATCCCAGGAGGCAGCGAGTTGTGCCTGTGCCCTCACCCCTCTGCTCTGTCCCTAACGCAGCCCTACAGCCTCAGCTTCCTTAACAGGTTGTTTTTTGTTTTTTTTTGTTTTTTTTTTTAAGCAAAAGCTGCAGAATCAGAACCACATCAACCCCAAGCCTGGAAACGTACGGAGCTTTCGATCCATCTCCTCGCACCTCCGGACTTCATTGACGAATTTACGGTGGAACACATTCACGTCGGGGTTCAGCTAGAGGGAGAGACACGGCACTCAGCAAACCCCGCCACCCCGGGGCCGAGCTGGGCCCCACCGGCCCTGAGGGCACGGGAGCGGGGTTCCCGGTGCCCCGACCGCCCCGGTGTCGCGGGGAGCGCAGGGGACACTCACATCGCGGAACTGGACCTTGCCCAGCTCGCCCAGCTCACTGACACAGCAGTACGCGGCCTCAGACTGCAGRAAGAGCTGGGCCAGGGTCATCTCCTCGCTGCGGAACAGCTCCCCCATGGCGGCGCCGCTSCCGCCGCTGCGGCCTCTGCGGAGAACAGCCGTGAGAACCGGGCCGGCGGCAGGGACCGAGGCCTCCCCGCCTCCGCCGCTCCGTCACAGCCCGGCGATCGCCATCCCGATCCCATCCAGTCCCCATCGCATCCAGCCCGGTCCCGTTCCGTTCCGTTCCGTTCCCCCCCATTACCTCCCGCTGCCGCCTCCGCCTCCGCCGCCGCCGCCGCTTGACCCGAGCCGGCTCCCGTCCGCGGCGTCTCCTGGCGACCGCGCGCGGCCCCGCCCCGGAAGTGGCTCTGAGGGGCGGCCCCGCGCGAGCCGCGCTCGGTGACGTCAATACCCGCATAATGACGCGACAGTTACGTCATTATCTGGCGTGGTGACGTCACACTCGGCATGCCCCAGGCGTGAGGGCGCGGCCTCTCCCCGCCGACCCGGCCCGGTCCCGGTGAGGCCCGGGACAGTGACATCCGYGCCGCAGTGTGAGTGAGGAACAGCCCGAGACACAGCCGTTGTCACCAAAACTGCGGGAAAAACAAAARCTCTCCATTAATATTTTTAATGTTAGAAAGTCGAGGCGTTACTTAATTTTCTGGCCAGGATGTGCCACAGAAATCATCTCATTTRCACACAGCAGACAGAATCATTCCATGACACATGAATTTTGCAAGATTTTCCCCAAAATTTATACAGTCAAAACTCAGAGAACTTTATTGGTTTAATGTTCATTGGTCCAACGTTGCATAATTCTTAGTATTTGGRTTCCTATTGGATCTGGATTTCTTCACCTCTGATGCTGATCAGGTCCTTCTCTTATCTTTTTTTTTCCCAGAGCAGATGCCTCCAGCCACTCCTGTGAGCAGCAATGCCCTGCAAAGAAACTTCAGCACCTCTCCCTCGGGGAAAAGGCAAACAAAATCGGACTAAAGTTACATCAAAAATCTTTAAACTGGTATATTTTCCAACACTCCCACTGGAAGTGATGGACTCCAAACTGAGGCTCTGCAAATTCCCACCCATTGGCTGTTCCTGGTCTGTCTCTGCAGCAGAAAAGTGGAGTTAATCCAAATACAAAAAAGTGATTCCTGGCATTCCAGCCCAGGATGATCGCTGTGGGCACAGAGGAGAGGGGCAGTTCATCTCTCTGAGCCCCAGGAATGGATGTAAATACCTGTCCTGTTGGTTTGTCTGGTTCTATCCAGACTCACCTACTCAAGCAGATTTTTTTTTTTATTATTCCCAAATGGAGACCCAAAGGCAGAGAGATGCATTGGAGTCACACGTGTAATGGATGACAGGTCCTCAAGGAGTTGTCCTTCACATGTGTCCTGTCCTGTACCTGAATCCCCACCCTGGAGCAGRTATCCCCAGGGACAAACAGCTCTGGGGCCTGGGGCTGCCTGCCTTCAATGTGGAGTTTTTCCATCAAACTCTCAGCAGCAGAAAACACTGGAAATAAATGCTCTGGAAAAAGATCCCTCCAGGAAAACAGTGTACAGAAAAGCAGTTTGTTTTCATTGCAATTCTGTGATCTCAGAGCCACCAGACCCAGGTCAGTGGGGAGAGTGAGCGGTCACGGGGCAGGCGGGGAAAGTGCTGACTGCTGYGAGCACTGTGAATGAACAATGTCCCTCTGCATCTGTGGGATGTCCGGGYTCCCCAGTGTGGAGTTGGGRTGGGTCAYTTCTCYCAGTCTGCCCTGAGGCAGCTGAGCWGGGAGGAGCCCAGCTCTGGGGCATTCCTGGTGTTTGCCAGCCAGTGGCAAAGGCCGAGAGCAGACTTGGGCTGGCAGGAGGTGCTGAGGGTGAATAACTGTTGTTGAAGCTATAGAATGAGGGAAGCTGCCACCTTCCCAGTGTGCCCACAGCCTTCCCAAGTGCCTCAAATCTGGCAGTGAACCCCAGGCCAGCAGAGACTCTGTGGCAGCTCTGTCCATGGGAGCTTGGTTCCTTCTGGCAGAGCCAACCCCAGAAACAGCGAAGGATCTGGCCCACGGTCACTCCCAAGATCTGAATTTCCCTTCTCCACATTCCTGGCACGTCCCTGCTGGATTGTTTCGAAGTCTGTGGTGGCACCTCCCACGTGTCTCCCTGTTTTGAATCAATCAGGGTTTTTACCACTAAATCCAAAAGTAACCCACTGTATTTGGGCTTTGTTTACAAGCACAATTTTGTGTATCACGTCTTGCATTTACAGTCTGGTGACAGGATCTGTARAAGGCTCAAGGACTGTGGAGCTGGGAGAGCTCCTTTAGGGGGAGTGCCCAGCTGCCTCACTTCAGGAGTGAATTATGCTTCTCTGTGTTAAATCTGTGAGGATTTAATCTGTTTTACCCTGCACCTACTGTATGTGCCTGTTGTATATTCACATGTGGGAGGAGGCATTCTTAAGATACAGCTGTTTCCATGCTGTGACTACTGAATTGAAATARTAGCATTTATTTAAAATACTGAAAATCAGGCTCTCATAGTCCTGGGGAGGAAAAAAAAAACAGCTCCAAAGCTAAGTATTGACAAAAGATCTGAACTTCCAGCTGAACTTTTCAGCGTGTGCAGTTGTTTAGACCARCCTTCAATGCACACAGCTGTGCCCAGATGGGGCTGCTTGCTTCCCATTCTCTTCCCAGCAATTTCCCGAGCTGTCTGCTAAAGGATTTTGTTTTTTCCTCCCGTTAGGTACGGTGCCTTTAGACTGAGGGTAAAGAAGGGGCGGCTGCAGTTCCAGAGCTTCGCATTCCTGGCTGCGCTGTGCTTGTGTTTGCATGCAGAGCCATCGCCTCCCCTCCAACTATTTTAATCATTTCAAAAGGGTGGGTCAGCAGGCATTTGGCAGCGGCCCCTTTTCTATAGCTGAGGTGGAGTCAGCCAATGACCTGCAAGCCTGGAAAATTTTGCAGGGCAGTTCCACTGGACGGCTGTGCGGAGCTGTGCCATTTGAATTTCAGCACAGACACTCACTCACTGCGCTCCCCATTCCTGGCGTGTCTCCCAGTGCGGAGTTTAGCTGAGGCTCGGGCTCAGTTTTCCCTGCTCTCTCCCCGCAGTGACAGCTTCTCCGGGCTCYCGAGCCACCATGGAGGACACCACCTTGCAAATCATCGAGCCKCCCACCGTTTCTGAGACCTCGGACGAACAAGCGCCCGAGGAACCCATCAAATCAGACCAGATCAACGGCGTGATGGTGCTGACCCTTCTGGACAAGATCATCGGAGCGGTGGATCAGATCCAGCTGACCCAAACACAGCTGGAGGAGAGACAGCAAGAGATGGATAGCGCAGTGACCAGCATCCAGGGAGAGCTGACCAAGCTGACCAAGGCACACACCACCACCAGCAACACYGTCAACAAAATGCTGGAGAAGGTGCGCAAGGTGAGCGTCAACGTGAAAACGGTGCGGCAGAACCTGGAGAAGCAAGCGGGGCAGATTAAGAAGCTGGAGGCCAACGAAGCGGAGCTCCTGAAACGCAGGAACTTCAAAGTCATGATCTACCAGGTAAGGAACTGTTTCACTTTTGTCCTTACATCCTGTTAGTGGGTGTTTTCTTTGCTGAGGGTCCTGTCATGCTGCATGTTCGGTCCAGCCCTCTCCCAAACTCCCCGGATTGTCCGGCAGTCCGAGCTGAGGTGGCTCCCCYGTCACTCTCTCATTTGTGGTTTAACATTTTCCGTGTGTCATAAGACAAAGTTTGACAGAGTTGTTCCATTTTAATGGGATTTTAATGCCGATACGGAACGAGGCCTTAAGAGCTCACTGCAATGGGCCAGAAGTATCAAAATAATCTGATTTTACTGTTTAGCTCRACAAAGAGCAAGAGTGCTCTGGGATCTGGAAGGGGGTGTTGTAAATCCATCTGCCARCGTCTCTTCTACCAAGAGACACCATGTGTATGGCTACGTGGAGACCGATAATATTTCAGATTTGTGACATGCATCTGGTAACAAGTGATAGTAGCCCCAGCCTCAGGGTTAATCTGTCCAGCCARAGCAGATAGAGCTGTCAGAGAAAATCCAGCCCAGCCCCCTGAGCTTGGCAGTGCTCGGGGTGGCCTTTCCTGTGGGTTTGTACAATTCCCACCTTGTTTCTTCTGCATCCTGCAAGCCTTGAACCTTCTTGTTGCTTGCTGTCAATAACAGCTTCAGTTTGCTTGATATTCACCCCCTGCACTAAGTGTTGGAGTTTTCATTTAACATTAAACAAGGAGAGAGAGAGGAGCACGGTTCTGTCAGGTTTCCTGCTTGGAGTCAGGTTTTCATGTCAGAGCAAACTCTTCTGTTGGGCCATGGGTGAAAAGTGAATGAAACAGTTAATGCTACAATTGGAAGCCKCTGGGTTAATAATAGCCAGCGCCAGGGACAAATGGAGAAGCTTCGAGTGCTGATCACRAGAGGAGAGAGGAGAAAAGCAGAATAAAAGGGAGAATGGTCCTTACTGTGAGGTTTGAGGGTGAGGGGCTCGTGACAGGCTCAGGGTCAGGCATGTACAGGGCCTGTGGGACTCCTTGGTTCAGAGCTTGAGCATTTGGGATTTTATCGTGGCTGAAAGGCTGAAATCCTGTTCAGATCATACAGCAAACACAAACAGTTATAGACAGATACATGTGTATGGATTTATTACAAACTTTTTGTATCCATCTATCCACGGAAAAACAAAATAGAAGCAACAACCGCTGCAAAATGAGTGGAGTGAAGGGAATCGTTTAAACACAACATTCCATGTCAGTTACGGAAATAGGTAGGAAGTTGGCAAGGTTCAAGGTCCTYGGGAAGCATCCCAAACATCTGCAGGTTAGTGTTTCATGAGCAGTTTGTGTTGGTTTGTTGTGGCTCACTGATATTGAGCGGAGTTGCTCTTTGAATATTAAAAAGCAATGCTGCTTCTGAAGGCTTGGGGCCTGCCCTTGCTGCTGTGGTGAGGGCAGAGAAGCCTTGGAGAGAGTCATTTGGCCAGGGACTGTGCCAGGGACTTAGGGAATCATGAAGGTATTAGGGGAAGAAATTATTTGGGATTTGGAGTAATTTCCCAGCATGGAATTCAGTGTGATTTGAAAGTGAGGCCACAGAGCACAAGTAAGGAATTCTCCAGGTTTGCACCGTGTGAAATGGAGCTGTTTGTGTCCTCATGGACATTTGGCACTTCCACGGGAGCCGGAGCAGACCCGGCCCCAGCAGGAAAGCACCAGGATCCACCCTGGGGGGTATCTGAGGAATTCACCGTGCTTTCCTAATGGTACCTACACTTAAAACCAAATAATTACAAAATAACTCTCATTCAGTGTGTCACTTCTCAGATCCCCCCACCTACCAAAGTGTCTGTCGGGTAAATTACTGGTCACGTAATTAATTCTGTGGTGCTGAGCACATTATTGCTCCTCTCTGACACAGGGAAAGCTGCTTTGCCAAGCTCGGAGTGACTCCTGTGTGTTTTCAGTTGCTGTGGCAAAAAGTCCAAAGATTTATTAGTCTTTTCTTTTGGAGAACAAGAGATAAACTCATCCTAAAGGATGTAATATATTCCATAATCCCAGTGGGGGGTGTTTTTGGGTGAGAGAGCTGAGCAGAGCAGGAGTCGTGCTCTGTTGGGTTCAGCATTGCACAGTTCTGCAGTTGGAAGAAATAAAGGAGGTAAAGATAAATAAGCTCTTTGCTGGTTCTTGATGTTTGATTATTCTCTCAGCATTGAGTGCTGAGGTTTATTGAGTGGAGGGATTATTTTAGGAGTGCAAATAAGACCTTTTGCACCTTGGAGGGAAGGTCAGACTGCCCGTAAGAATTGTGTTTTGCTCACTGGAGATTAGGAGGAAATGGAAACCAAATTTTACTCARGGAAAGCCTGACCTGTGGGATGATCCTGGGCACATCTGCTGGGGTAGCTTCAAAATTTGGGAGAGAAAATGCAGGGATATCATTTCCACATCCTGGCTAAGGGGAGATGTTGAGCAGAACATTTATGGCCGTCGCTCTCAGTCCYGTCCTTGCTCACATTTTCTCACTTRCTGACCCTCTCTGAGCGTATTTTGCCTGGAGCTGGTCTGATTTCTACTGAYTTAAGAGWTTTTGKAKAGMCTTAATGTAGRGWATTAGATCAATTCTTGARAATAAAACTGGAAAACAACCATACYCCTCCAAATGGCCTCATCTTTCTCTTTTGAAAACTTGCYGAGCCAAAAGAGAKGTGACAGCTTTACAGGCCACTGTGTGTGCTGACATTCAGTGCAGAACTTATCTTCCTAAAAAGTCTGACATCAGGGAGTGCCTGCACTGCTCAGCAGCCCCTGGGAACAGAGCTCCGAGCTTCCTTTGTGCCTCCTGTCTTTCAGAGAAATCAGGACACAAAAAAAAATCGGTGAGAGTGGTTGCTATTAAAAACAAACTAAAGTGACTTCATCCCAAATCTCCTGGTTTTAGGATCCTGAATCTGAGGCTGGTTACTGCAGTTCATGGTTAAATAATGGATGTCCTGTGCAAGCAACTAATGCTCTGAAACCACACTTTGTGCCGTGTTCAGCTGGAGAGTGGCACGTGGCAGTTTATGTAAGCTTGGCATTTTCCTCYAAACACTTTTTGACAATTAAACTTATTCCTGCAAATGCCAAAGGCTGATTTTCTTACAACCAGACAAACCCTTGCAGCACTCGGCACACACACACAGAGTATTGAATTTCTAAAGTGTGCCAATCTTTTATTTTGAGGTTTGTGTGGGTGCTGAGCTCCAGGAACTCTGGGATGTGCAGTGTTTTTGTTGGGAAGAGCAGCCTTTGCCTGCTCAGAGGGGTGTGAGTGTCCAATTTGGAGGYTCCTCTGCTCTTCAGGGGGCTCCAGTGGCTGCTGTGAGCTCTGTGAGATCTGAGTTTCCGTGGGAAGGGCTGTGCAGTTGGGAGAGCAGGRTGGGATCTGGATCCCAGCCATGCAGTGTGGGGTGGGTAGGGCTGGGCAAAGGAAATATAAATAGCCCAGCTTGGCTTTGTGCTGGCGTGGGCCTTATAGGGACGGGAGCAGTGAGATTGTACATCGTGAGGAGGAGGGGGGATTTCAAACCCACGCATTCATGGGACAGGTTCGGAGGCCGGATCTGAACTGCCTCAATTTTGGGTCTGTTCTCCTCAAAAGAGAGCGTGGAAAAGGACAGGGGGTTGAGGAGAAGAACAGGGCAGGGAGCCCAGGGCATACAAACCCACTGCCCCGGGGCTGCTGCCTTTCTCCACTGCCCAAACAGAACAGCAGCTGCCCYGAGCTATGCTTTTGTTTTAAATTAATCATTCAGAAACAAAACCACGATGAGTTAATGGCAGTGGAGCACTGACAAGAGCCAGCAAGATCCACAGGCCTGAGGGACAGCCTGGGTGGGTGACATGCCTGCAGTTCAGTGGAGCTTGCCCAGTTACCAGCATTAAAAAGAAAATAGGAATTTCCAAAGCACCATATTTGGATGACAGCACTGGGATAGGCATAGGCACCAGGTACCCATGGGGTGCTTTTCCTGCAAGACCAGCTGGCTCCATGTGGCTGAGATCTCTCTGTCTTGGAACATCCATCACTCTTCCCAGTGGGTCACTTGCATTGCAGCAGCCACCGTATTTCTTTTCTGATAATGTTTTAAAATAAAAATCTGATTTCAYTTTCACTGAGAATCCAGTCTAAAGCAGCTACTGTCTGTGCTCCCTCCATTGCAGGGATACCACRTGAGCATCCCAATTTGCAAAAATCTTGCATATTCTCTGCATATTACAGAATTATCAGAATCTCAAGATAATAATTCAGAGGAGTCTGAGCTTTAAAAAAATGTCAGGATGTTAATAGCTCTGACTTCCAGGATTTTTTCTTAGTGCAGATTACCAGTCTACCAGTAGACAACTCTGGAGCATGGATTTCTCTGTTGCAGTCTGGTATCAACTGCATTAATATTTCATTGCTCAGCTATTATTTATAAACAGTTGGTGCCAGAACTCTTTGCTTTGCTGGAATCCTTTCACCATTATAGTTACAGACTGAGCTGTGCAGCCATAAATTGTCTCAGAGCAAAGGGCCAGAGACTGCCCAGCCTTTGGGATGGGGTTAGACTGGACAAATAGTGGCCCATGAGAACAAATCCAAGGTAATATCCCTCCTGATCACATATTCTTCCCTCAGGCCTCTCATGTGCACAGCCCAGAAGGCAAAGCAGTGACTCATAAACTATTCAGCAACAGGCTTAGCCCTCTTTTATCCCATTTGGGATTGTCCTCTTGGTTCTGCAGCATCTCCTACAACATACAGAGCACCCAAAGAGTTGTGGGTCCACTTTCCAGCTGYGAGATAGACAAAGAGCAGAAACAAAATGTTCAGTGTCAGTAAAGGAAAATCAAATATTTAGAATAAAAAGTCTCAGGATGTTTAGTCTCCAGCTTTATGTGAGGATGCAAATGTCAGTGTCTGCAAATCATTTGTAATGCAAACCCCATCTTTGCTGCTTTGCTGTTCAGGAGCAGCTCCGGTGTCATCAATCAGCTCAGACAG